ACCACTCACTGAACATATACAATAACAACAAATTCAACTCTGAAACTGTTTGAAAAATAGCAGAAAGCAACAAGAAATTGTGGTATCTAGGATACTTGGAACCTATATAATAGGTACAGAGAAATATTCTAAGAAAGAGGAATTATTGCTGATAATTTGATGAGTAATATTTAGTAAAGAGAACATATTTAAAAATATATTTCCTTGTAGGGTTTATGCTTTCTCTGAAGGGAGAAATTCAGAAAAGATTTGGAATAGTAGTAGCAGCTCCATAATACCTTTGTTGTTTAGTTCGTTAAATTTGAAATGATTAGTTATTATAATCACTTTTAAATATGGTTTCCTACACAAGAGAGGCTTACTTTCAGCATTAAGTTTAACAAGTCCTTTGTTGTAATTCATTAATAAAATCTTGTAGTACTGGCAAATTACCAAAAATCAAGACAGGTAGTAGATAATTCTGTTCCTTATAAGATCATTATTACACTTTATTATGTCTTAACGTTGTCTTTAGATTGTTGCACAAGAAATTGTGTGTGTGTGTTTGTGTGTGTATGTGTGTATTTCTGCCAGAGAACTTACTGCAATAGTAATAATAAGGGACTCCAGTTATTTGTAGGAAATAAATGTACTCTAGTAAAATATATTCTTGTTGAAAAACTGTCATAATTCCATTTGTGGCTGTAGCTGCAAGCTTGAAGAAAACACTACTAATAAATTTTGTGCAGTTTTTTCTTTACAAGTTTTACTTAGTTTGTACAGAAGAATGCCAAATGTCGATAAAGTTTTAAAATAGATATTAAAATAGATATCTGTGTATGTTCATATCTGTTTTTGTAATACAAATAATGCACCAGAAATCTAACCATGTCATAGAAAAGTTCTGATATATTTCATGTTTTCAGTACATTATGCTTTGTAGGCTTTGAAAATTGTTCAAAAGAAATGCTTGAACACAACTTTTTCAGTTATTCATTAAAACAGCCTAGCTACCGTATTTGCCGGCGTATAAGATGACTTTTTTGCCCTGAAAAACATGCCTCCAAGTGGGGGGGTCGTCTTATACGCCGGTAAATACGTTGTCACTCGGTGCAAGAGCGACGGGGCCGGAGCTCCGCAACTTGCGAAGCCCCTTCAAGCCCAGCCGGAGTCTCTCTTCCTCCTCCTCCCACCCACCCACCCACCCACCCTCCGCCCGGCTCGGGGCGCTTGCGGAGGCCAATCTGGAGGTGGGGTGGGGGTGGAGCGGGAGGGTCTCTGGCGGGGCCGCTTCGCCCAGCCAGCCCCGAGCCGCGTAATGGCCCGGGGAGTGGTGGGGAGAAGGTGGTGGGGGTGGACTGTGGCACCCCTCCTTCTGGGCAGCGGGGCGGGGGGCGGCAATTTGCTCCTCCCGCTTCTCCCTCCCTCTTTGAAAGACCGGGAGGGCTGTGCTTGGGGCGGGGGGGGTGTCCTCGGGAAGTTCCTGATGGGACCCCGCTGGGCAGGGCCACCCGGCTCCCGAGCTGCTTTCCAGGGTCCCCTTGGGAAGAAAAGGGTCCGGTGGGCGGTGGAAGAAGGCGAGGGACCTCCTCCCGCCCCCTGTCCCGTCCCGTCCCTCCTCTTGTCCCCTCCTCCCCTCCCCGCTTAAGAGAGAAAGATCCGCCTCCCCTGCACCGAGCTTCCACCCGGCGCCGCGTCTCCCGGCCAGCGCACGCTTGCGACTTGGGAACCGGCCAAGCGACTAAAACCTAGCGGAGGCCAGAGATAGCCGGAATTACCCTCCACACCACATACACACACACACACACACACACACAGAGAGAGAGAGAGAGTTGGCAGCTGTCCATCCCCCACCCTTGGAATCCTGATGGCACGCACGCAGGGGCTGTCACAAAGAAAGGGAGAGGAATTGAGTGCCAGCCTGAGAAAGGCGAAGCTGCCTCTCTAAAGCATTTTGGTGGCTTTGTAAGTTTGGGTGTCAATCAAGAATTATATCCAGAATACCCCAAGTGTTACAACTTACCGTATTTGCCGGCGTATGAGATGACTTTTTTGCCCTGAAAAACATGCCTCCAAGTGGGGGGGTCGTCTTATACGGCGAGTATATAACAAAAACTATATTTTGAGTGGAAATGTTGGGGGCTCGTCTTATACGCCCAGTCGTCTTATACGCCGGCAAATACGGTATTTTTAAATTCCCATTGCTCCAAGGAATCCCTTCATTAAATTTGGAGTTAAATATTCCTAAATAAATCTTAAATATCTTCCACCAAAACAGGATTTGGAAGTATTTATCTATGCATATTATAAACTGTTCTATAAGTTAGGTATAAAAACAAAAATCAATTAATACATATATTTTTCAGAAAAATAATTGAATCTTGTGCTCCATATAGAAAAATGTAGAGGATTAAAGTGTGAAAAAAGTACATTTTGTATTTCCACATATTGATGACCAAGTGAACATAATGGCAGAGTCAAATGCACCATCAATTTGGAGTCTGTGCTCCAATTAGTGGCTTCAGTCCAACACCAACACCACCCCACATTGAAATCCATTGACTTATCGGGCACCAATTTGCCTTCAGATTCTTGCATACAGGTAGCATTAAAGAAATTTATAGAAAGAAACTTGCTTTTTATTGAATTAAATTTTATATACTTCTGAACACTTCATTGAAAAGAAACATTGCTATTTGGTATTTAACTCTGAATAAGTAAGCAGTTAGGCAGATGATAGAATGGATAAATAGATGATGTGATGTGATGTAATATATAACCTTTTCTCCCTTATTGAAAGTAGAGATGTTGTGACTTACTGGGAATAGCGCATTTATGTCTTATTTATGAAACAAGGCCAGGCTATTCATATATCAGAATTTATTCTACCAGAGGTCCTTCATTCTGTTAAACCATTTAAAATTAATTAGAAGTTGCTGTTATTTGAAGATAATATGCTTTTACCATTGTTGATTTATCTTGCATAGTACTGTAGCAGTAAATAACATTTTCCTATTATGTATATTTAATATTCCATCTTCTTCATGTTCATGTTCAATATGTTAGATAAATATATTTTAATATAGCTACAAATTACCCAAGACGGAATGCTGGGAATAATGAAGAACTGTACAATGAATGTGCCAATTAACTTTGGAATCTCAGTAAATGAACATTTCAAAATTAGTAACATTTCAGTTGTCTAAATTTCTGAACTAAATATTGAGGGGTATGCATTCACATAATACCAAGAATGATTTTTAGTCCTAAAGGATGAAAAATATTTTTTTTTCATTTTAGCATTTAATTAATCTGGGTATAATTAACAGTTGAGATTCCATTTTGTTGTTAAAACTCAAATGAAATAATTTGGTTTTCTGTGTTAATGTTTAATTTAAAAATGAAATCATGTGAAACAAGATGCCAGAGATTACTTGATTAATTCAATCAATCAGAAATAATATTGCTTTAAGAATATTATTTAATCCTAATTGAATATAGTGCTTTGTAACTATCCATATTGCCCAGATTTTTAGAATGCTGCACGCTGCTGGCCAAAAATGGAATTCATATCTCCATGAGGGAAATATGCTTTTTTTCATATAGCCAGAAAGTCTGATACTTCAATCTGCCACACAATTGATTTTTTTTAAAATACTAGAATAGAACATTGGATGATGTCTATGAAATGAGACTGAATAAAAGTGCATTAGTTTGTTTTTTTCTTTCTTTCCCAGTGTGATAGTAACTATACTATCTTTTTTTAAAAAAAATGAAGTTAAACATTGGTCCCCTTTTTAAAAATAAAGTTTGCTTTTGTTGATGGGATTGATCTGTTTCCCAATGAAAGAGGGAAAGCTTCTATATTACATAGATATAAGACTGCACTTTTGAAATTATATTACTTTTTTGCATTTAAATTTTGAATCATCAAAAAGGTAGCATGGGCTGTAAGAACTCACATTTTTTACACACATCATTAGATTTTTTTTCTAAAAGATAGTGTCAGATCTTTGAGGTAGGCCAGGCCAGGAAACAGTAGAACATCTACTTTATTAATATAGGCCAGGGGTCCCCAAACTTGGTAACTTTAAGACTTGTGGATTTCAACTCCCAGAATTCTGGAAGTTAAAGTCCACAAGTCTTAAAGTTGCCAAGTTTGGAGACCTCTGATGTAGGCTATAAGAATAGAGTTTCCCCTTCCACTGTGTTTAAATACAGGAAGGTCAAAGCAGGTTAACCTTGACTTTCTCCTACATTTCTTCCTATCTCTCCAAGTGAAGCATATGTTTTTATAAGGGCTGCCTCATATTTATATCACTGATTTTCCTGTACAAATAAGAGTAGGAAGCAATATGTTATGCCAAGGTAGCAGACAAAACCAGGGGTGCAAAGGGCTCTAGAAAAAGGAAATTTGAGAACTCAAATATACTAGCCTTTGAGCTCCATTGCTTGACTATAAGTCCCTAATCTAAAATATTTTTAATCTTAATAATATTAACAGTCAAATTTTCACAACAGACAAATAGATAGAAATATGTTAAACTCATTCAATAAATTCAACGATTCAATTACATAAAGTCATCATTTCACAGTTGTTGTTTACTGACTATTCAAAATTACAACAGACCCTTCCAAAAGCTAGTTACAACCTGATTCCGCAGTGCCAATAGTATTTTCAATGCTTGGCAACTGGCTCGTTTTTATAGTTGGTTGCAGCATTCTACAGTAATGTAGCAGTGTTTTTTGTTGGTTCCTGGACTTTTTTTTGGCAAAAATGCTGATAAAAATGAATGACTCACTTAATAACTCCCACAAAATAACTTATAAAATCAAGGCAGTCCCATGGGTGCTTTGATTTATAACCGTCATGACTTAACGATGAAATTTCTGGATTCCAATATGGTAGTAAGTCAAGAACCACATGTATTAAATTAATTGCTAAAAGACAGCTTTTTAATACAAATATGATTTTGCTCATTTACTTACAACTTATTTTAATGAGAATTCTTCTATTTCAGGACCAAATGTTTTCGTGGGAAAAAAGTCCATGGAGAATACGACATCAAAGTCGAGCAGGTATTCAAAAAAGATTACTGTCATATTACTCACATAATTTTTCTTAGCGTTAAATATTATTTCAGAGTATTAAGAATGGAATAAGTTAGTATCATATAAAAATATTTTTGACCCAGTGTAAATAATAAAATTATATAATACAGTGAATAAAATATGAATTTGTTGAGATTTTGAGGCAGTAATAAAATGTTTTTAAGAACACTTGACAGGGTTTTCTTTAACATAATTGCTTTAAGGCTTCTTACTGTTCATTTCTAAATGCAAAGTTACATTATTCTATTAAAGGTATTGGTATTTATTAAGGCAGTGAAACTTTTAATTAATTCATATGCCTTACTGTCACTTCTACTGTAGATGATTCAGAGGATATTCATGAACTTGATGGGATTTTTTTTTTACTTTGCAAGAAAAATGTTATTCTCAAACATGATTGTATTATAGCCCACATATGGACAAAACTGATGGGGAGTAAGTGATGGAATGGATCTTAGAAATGAACATGATTAGTTGGCCAGTGAGTTTTATCACTTCTACTCACTCTTCCTATGAGACCAAATGGAAGTTTGTTCCTTCCTTGTTTTGATATAATTTGTTCAGGTAGATTTACTTGTAGGACAAGAGAAAGAAAGATAAACATTTTAATTCTTTTTAAAATTTTGTTCTTTCTTTAATTCCACAATTTGTTTTTCATGTAAATAGGATCAAAATCATATTTCTGTCCCAACATCTAACAGCTTTTAACATAGGAGATAAAATTGTAGTCAACCCCTCCCTAATAATAGAAAAGCAACATAATATTTTCTTTATTGTGCCTATAATTATCTTTTTTCATTTGATTACTTTTGTTGCACATATAATTTTTAATTAAAAGAATATGCCTAATGAGTAAAAACTACATTACATTTACTTAGGAGTATAATATCATAATTGTATTTGCTTGGGGAAAAAATGAAGATAATTGTAATGACATAGTATATTGCCTTCAGTTTTTGCTGATTTCATGAAGTGAAGGATGTTGGATTTAAAACAGAAAGTGAATGGAACAGATGGTTTAAGAGATGTGAAGGAGAAATGTAAGATAAGAAGAATAGAAGATGCATGGAGAGAAGAGCTGAAGCTGCAGATCAGGGATACTCATGCTGGCTGGATGCTCACAAAACTTGCAGATTGCTGGGGAAACAGCAAATGTGGAAATCTCCAAATGTAGGATCAACAAAAGGACCAACTGGAACTACAGTATATGAATCCACCAGTGAACACTGCCAGGACCCATAGGAAAAAGCATTGAGTTCATGACATCTGTAACTGCTGGGGCCAGGCATGTCTATGGAAGTTGTTGCTAGGCTGGTAGCTACAGAACTAGGCTGGTAGCAAGGCTGGTAGCAAGAAGGTAGTTTCCATTACTGGCACTCCCCCTATATAAACAGACAAGCCTAGAATTAATTAGCTGTTGTGGAGTGAGTCAAATCATGCATGGAATCTTCTACCAGGAATAGGTGTAAATGTTCTACTGAAGATAGATGAATGTAAATATGTTTAAGATTGCCTCTTTTAAAAAGGCAGAAATTATGAGGAGTGTAGATGAACTTTGGAAGGTAGTTTTAGAGGACATAACTATAAATGTTGGCTAAAGATTTTTTGACACTGCAGAAATTAGGAAAATGTGGACTGGAAGGGCAAGTTCATTAGAGTCATGCAGCATCCAGAATGTATGTATGAATGAATGTATGAATATATAAATGTGTGTGTGTGTGTGTGTGTGTGTGTGTGTGTGTGAGTGAGTGAGTGAATGAATGAATGAATGAATGAATGAATGTCATTTCCGGGTGAGCGTTGGAGTTTGGCTGTAGAATTGTTCTCCCTAGAGCAAAAGGGTTGAAACAAGGAAGTTTCAAGATGAAAAATGGGCAAGGGAAAAACTTCAGGGTGTGCCTTTGCCAGCATGGGATAAGTGACGTCAAAGGAGATCCTTATAGACAGATGGTGGAAGAGAATTGCAGGCTCTAATTGCTCCGTTTTGAATGGCAGTTTTGCCTGTAGCAAATCTGCTCTCATCTACAACTTGATCATGAATGTATGGGAAGAACTACCAAGAGATTTGAATTTTTTTAAAATTAGTGATGATAGTAATTTTTATGACACCTTTGTTTGTAATATAAATATGTGTAAAATTTTCTTTCGTACCTGGCAAGATCCCAGAAATGTTTATTACTTATTGAAGGTATTTCCACTTATACATTGCTTCTATTTTTCATGTGAAAAAACAGTTCCAACATTATTCTCTTCTCTAAGTGTGTAACTTCTTCTGTAAGCAAATACTCATAAAATAATATTTTTAAGCACACTTTGCTAGATACTATTTGTTTGTTCAAATTTAATATGTCCACAGAAGTTACATGTGGACTAGCAGCTTAAAACTAGTTGGTTTATTTATGTGTTTTTGAATCTTTCAGGCACAATTTTCAGAGGTCAGTTTGATAGCTCATGCTGATGGGAATTATTCTGTAAATGTGCAAGCTTTTCGAAATGGCACTAAAGTTGTCAAGTAAGTTATTTTACTTGTTTGACTTTCAGAATTAAGGTTAACATAAATAAATGCAAAACATGATCATGAATAACATCTTTTATTAGAAATAGAATCTGTTCAGGGTTCATCCACGTTTTACAGCCAAGGTACATCCAGGTCAATGGATGATGTAATTCAGGGATGAGCTTCAAAATTTTTAGCAATGGGTTCTCTGCCCAGTTGCTGGGTGGGTGTGGCCATGGTGATTTAGTTGGCCTCCTGCACCATGGTGGGGGGAGGCATTTTGCCCTCCCCAGGCTCCAGAGGCTTTCCTCAAGCCTCCAGGAGGGCAAAAAACAGCCTCTCCGGGCTCCAGAGGCTCTCTGGAAGCCAGAAACAGGCGCATTTTTGGCCTTCCTGAACTTCTGGGAGGCCTGTTTTTCACCCTCCCTGAGCATCTGTGCGCACCCTGCACTTACCTGCATCCAGAACAGGCTGCGTGGGGACGCAGGGAAGGGGAGGGTAGGAGTGAGCAGGGCCATCCAGGAGTGGAATTTGGGGGTTCTCCAAATTGCACAGAATCTTAGATGGGGTTCCCCTGAACACCTGCGAAGCTCCAGCAACCCACTCCTGATGTAATTATGGTGTTTATTCATCTTCTTGATAAATTAATAAGTAGCAAACAGGTAAAACCATTCAATATCTAAGATAAAATATCCAAATAGCATCTCACTTTGTTCTAATTCATGTGAGGTTTTGGCTAACAGATTTATCTACTGGACAGTATATGATCATCAAGAACTATCTATCAGTCAGGTTAACAGGAGGGTTTTGTCCATGACTTTTTCAAGAAAAGTATGCTACTTTGTGCTGCTAAATTTCTCTCCCTCAGATTAAGATTTTCAAAGAATAGAAAAAGCATCTTTCAATATTCCTGGTAAAAACTTGCAAAATCTTAGAATGTCTATAATTGCTCTAGAGCAGTGGTTCCCAACCTTTTTTTCGCCCCGCACCCCTAAAGAAATTTCACTCGAACCTCGCACCCCCTGAAATTTATATTTTGCTCAAGGATAAATTATGCGAATTCCGAATAATATTTTATCAAAAAAAGATTGTTACTTTATTCTTTAATATAATTACCTGGACTTTTCTCGCACCCCCTGGAATATCGTCTCGCACCCCCAGGGGGTGCGAGCACCCCAGGTTGGGAACCCCTGCTCTAGAGAGACTATGAATGAAATAGTTAAAGAGTTATTGGTTTTGTCTTTAGTGAGCACTAATAGATCATTGAAGGCCTATTTGAACAGAAGTAGATGTTATATATGAAACAAGGAGTGATAAAGCAGAAGGATTTAAACATAAAGCAGTTCTAAATTAGTATCCAGTGTTAAGGTTTTTCCCAGATCTCACAGATGGCAACAAATTCGGTGTTAATATTTTTTTGGTCCTAGGAGAAAAAATTAGGGAAGAGAATAAGCTTTACAAACAGACCTTTAAATTATGACGTTACCATCACTCTCTATCATGGCATCTTCATTTTCATTTTACCCTCAACTTGGGATAAAATTTATCAGTTACTGGTTTTGGTCATGTTCCCTCAGAAGGATGGGTATGTGTCTGCATAGATATCAAAACATTCTGACTTAGATAACAGAAGCCTCACCCTCTAGCCACTATAAAATGGTAGATTTAAAAAAAATTGCCTGAATTCCCTTTTTTCAACCAGCTTTCAATATCCAAGATTTTTTCATGGCTGCCAGTTAGTGAAATTCCTTTCTTTACCAATCTCCATCATCATTAACACAACCAATAACTACAAATGAAGTTAAATAATTCTTTACTTTCTCCTAGCCTTTTTTGTTTTCTTTGAGAGGAATTTTTCATTGTCCTGAAACTTATGGCCTGAACAAAATGCAAACATGTAGAACAGGGGTCCCCAAACTTGGCAACTTTAAGACTTGTGGACTTCAACTCCCAGAATTCCTCAGCCAGCAAAGTCCACAAGTTTGGAGACCTCTGATATAGAAATATACTATTCCCTACAAGAGAAATTCTAACAGTCCCCTATTTGGATTTTATTCCAGAACCATAAATCTCTACTTTCCTTTTGGAATATAGTTTTGGTCACGATGACAACTCTGTCCTTGGACCACTTTTTTTCATTCTCTGACTCTTAACTAAAATATTAAAAGGGAGAGCTCCCTCAAAGATTTTCAAACTTGCCAATCCATTTTTAATTTATTCCTGGAAAAAGAGTTCTATCTTTACAACATCTTAAAAAACATGCTAAGAATACGTTTTGCTACTAACATTTCTATTTCTTCCAGACCAGAGTTGCACCTATACAATGGCTTCCATATTGCACTATTATCACAACTATAGTGCTACCTTTAGCAACCATATCTGATATTTGCACAATATTGAATATATCTCCTACACATAGAGCTTTTCCGCTTTGAATTATGAAACTAGATGGAGGCAAATCATTTCCAGAATCTTGTCTAGAAAAATATAGGGACATAAACAATTTTCAGTATAATGCTTTTTCCTCTAGATGTAATCTTAATCAGCCTGTTCTAATTCAATAGCTCCCATAGCTCTAGTAAGTTTCTAATATATTTGTTTGCTCGCTGTTAAACTCAATTCTCTTTAGGTCATTCAAGCCTGACTTCGTTCTTGTCCGGCAACATTCATTCAGCATGGCCGAAAATGAAGATTTTCGCAATTTAATTATTGGAATGCATTATGCAAGCATCCCAAGTGTTAACTCTCTAGAGTCAATCTACAACTTCTGTGACAAGCCCTGGGTAGTAAGTAACAAATCCTAATCCAATAATCATATATTTCATTGTATAATTGAAGAATAACATTTGAATGTCAAATTGGGGAAAGGAAAGGAAAATGAGTACCATTTAGTCCAATGTCTACCCCTGTGCACCTACAAAACATTATTAAAACATTTACATTTGGATTGCATCTCAAAGCCTTACATAATATAAATGCTATATATCCCTTAATGTTTTTTAATTACTATGAATATTTAATGCTTAATATATTAACATTTAATATTCATAACCTTTGCCTCATTTTCTTGTGGCTTTTTTAACCACCAAGGTTCTCAAAATTTTGCAGATAAAACAGCTGTAATCAGTCTTGTACAAAGTTAATAAAGTAGCTATTAATAAAAAGTATCTGTTCGGAGAATAGGATGAAATAATAAACAGTAGGTAAGGGAGCTGAACAAAAGAACCTAAAAATGGTACTACTACCTAGCTAGAATGCACTTCCCACATTTCATTTTTTTTTATCATTCTGGAATATGCGCACCTGTATGAAAAACTTTATGTACAGTAATTGTGACTCATATCTCCATTGCTTTTCCTTGCAGTCTCTGTTTGTATGATGCAATGCAAATAAAATCATTTCTGCATGTAGAAAGTTAATGTGAGATTATAATTTTTGCCTGCTGGCATTCAAGACAAAACCAGCCAGCCTCTCTACCTTAAGAAGTTTAATGTGTTATTCCTGCAATTGTTAAAAAGGCTGCAGGCATTTGCAATAACTTTCTACATTTTATCTTCTAAAATCAAAATACTTTTATCTTTTACCCAATCCTTTACATAAAAAAACAGTTTTCCAGATTTTTAAATTAAAAAGAATCTACAGTTCTAAAATATGCTAATATGGCAATTAAAATTATGATTTTAAAAATGTAAAATTAACAAGAGATACAGTACAAAGTATGAAGCCTAAATGGCAGTCATATCTAAATGTTTATTCTATCCCATTTTTTAAATTTCACTTCTAGATAGTTATCTCATAGCATTCAACTCAGAGTTGGTATTCAGCAGGCTCTGACCAGTTCTGGAGAACCGGTAGCAGAAATTTTGAGTAGTTTGGAGAACTGGCAAATACCACCTCTGACTGGCTGCACCCCCATCTATTCTCTGACTCCTGAATCCCAGCTGATTGGCTGGGTCTTCTTTTGTTGCCCTGCACAGGAGAACGGATCTGGAAAGAAGGTTAATGGGTGGGAATGGAGATTTTACAGTATCCTTCCCCTGCCACACCCATCAAGCCATGCCCACCATGCCACGCCCACAGAACCAGTAGTAATTTTTTTTGAATCCCACTACTGATTTACCTAAAAAGCTAAGTGAGTTCATTATAGATACCAGACTTTGGGACCATTGAAGGATTTTCTCCAATTGCTCTGTCAGCCTGGAAGTATTACTAGAGGCTAGAACCAAAGTGGGGACAAATTCCTATGTTCTCAGCTTGACTCAGAATGCCCTGTTATCCAAGTCTTCTTCTGTGCTGCCCCAAATATTTCAGAAACCTTTATCCAGTGCAATGCACGTTTCACCATGTCCACTGTACTTCAACAACTGCGGAGCCCCCTTTTCGACTTAGCCGAAAGCCCTGTTACTAACCAGTACCAGAAGGCTAGTACAAACAAAGGTTAGACACTGCATCATGAAAAATATGTTATTGAGATGCCCTTGGTTTGTCTCGCTACTTATTATCTCTTCCTTTGAGACAAAACCTTGTCTTTATTTATTTGAACAGAATGTGGTAATGGGTGCTGATCTGACATTGTGGCTTCTATGGCTATGTTTATTTACTTTCCAGTAGGAAGAGAGAGATTATTAAAACATATCAAAATGTTAATACAGCCAGGCAGTCTGGAGATTATGGCTGGAGTTTTCTCTTTTCATTCCATGAGGCTGTTATCTGTATTTATATCTATATCTAATTTATATTAAACAATTTTTTTACAAAGGTAAAGAAGACAAGTAGAAAAGGAAGCAAGATAAATAAAAATTGTTTAGTAAATAAAACACACTTCTCTTTCTCACTCTCTCTCCCTTCTTTTTGAAGAACAGATGATTGTCAATAAAGAAATTAACTTATTTTTATTAACATTGCAAAAATAATTCACAAATTTGCTTTAATAATCTGATGGTTCACAATGGAACACAAATACTGGAAGTAATTAGCTCTTTCCAAATGCAAGTACCATATGCTGCAAAGTATTAAATCTCCCCAGCCCTATACTAATCTGACAAGCCAGGTAATGGGCCGAGACAAAGACCAGGAAAATCAAATGCCCAATCATGAGTAGGAGGTTGCTCTTCCAGGTGTCCTTTTATAGATAGGAAAAAAAAAAACCCCTCCATATTGTCCTTTTAGCCTCTTTTCTTGTGACAGGGTCTGTTGCTCCTTCTCCCACCCCATGCTTGAAATTTACCTTTTAAGAGCATTTCATGCTTTTAAATGAATGATGACTTGTCTCATTTGACCATAAATGTATAATTAGACCTTATTGCAATCTCTGTGCTATACATTTGCTATAGCTATGTAAACTTGGGAGGAAATACTGTGGCTATAGATATCTCATTCAGTTATTAGTAGTAACTCAGAACTGAATGAAAAGAAGGAAATATGGAATAAATGATCTCATCTTAAATGCAGCACTAGAGTTGGCACTAAACTGTAGTGATAGCTCTATGAAAAAGCAATTTGCATAAACTCTTTAGGACCAAGCAGACAGGCACTAAAATCCTCTGTTTATTTCTAAATATGCCTGCTTAGCAATACGTTGTAGATTAGCTATATTCAAGTATTGCTATAGGGGAAAATCCAGATAATATTTATAAATAGATGTATTAATTTAAGGCTGTTTATGTAGCTTTTTACTTCCTTTTTCTGTAGATAATAATCTGGCAAACACTAAGGCATTTTGGAATTTAGATCTTGAGATTTTGATAGGTAATGATTAGAGGATTGCAGAAGAATGCTGAGATCATTTTTATATTAACTGTCTTTGAAATTTAATGTTTTGTTTTTCTGTAGTTTGCCCAATTGGTGTCCATCTATAGATCCCTGGGAGCAGAGAAATTTCCTCTGATTGAGCAAACCTTTTATCCAAATCACAAAGAAATGGTAAGAGCAAACAACAAACATAAAGTTCTATTTCTTTTGCATCTGAAAGAGGCAGCTATAATAATCCCTGAATTCATTTTATTTGTTGTTTCATCTTCTTGTTTTAGCTGTAGTGCCACTGGTTTTATGAAACAAAGATGTTTACTAATATAAAATACTTGACTTCCTGACAATGGGGAAAACATTTTTGGTGTTTTTAAAGTTACAGAGATTGAAATGAGAGATATTCTTTTTTTGAAATACACACATACTTTAGGCTGCTTAGATTAAGATTCAAATTATTCTCTCTCTTTTTTATAAATTACACAATTTATGTGAAATGTTACCTTGTATATATTATTAATGAGATGTTTCTGTGCTATATTATTAAATTCTGAAAAACTTGAAAATTCGGTCAGCTATTTTGACATTTGTCTTTTTCTTACTACCATTTCTGTTTCACTTTCAAGTATACCATGTAGTATTTAATATACTAGTTTAATACTGAAAGGTAAGTATTAATTGACTGACTTTCTATTTCTTCAAACCAAAGTCAAAATATTGATTGAAAGTATTGTTCCTTGAATAATATATGATGATGAAAGTAAAACGTATTCATTTGATTAAAATATAAATAAACATGTCCTATTTTTATTGATTGTGAGAAAAGTGAACCCAATGAAAGCAAACTATTGGTAGGAAAGTTGAATTAATTAATCACTAATCAAACTACCACACACAGAAACTTTGTGCAGTGTTAAAAATAATTATCTATAGCAAATGGAGAGAAATATAATCTCAAAAAAATGAAAGGAAAACTTAAATCTGATCTGTCAGTTAAATCTAAGCTAAGATAGTGGGTAGAAATAATCAAAGCTTTAGAAAACTAGTTATTTCTGTAAAAGTGCATATATTCCAATGAGAATTTGAATTAGGTTATTTCTTTCTTTTTCTGTGTACTGCTAGGTAAGGTCAATGTTCTCATTCCTATATGCAAATTATAAAAGTAAGTGTGAATCCTTAACTTTTATTTCTACACTTCTGGTTGGGCAGGAAGATATTGTCTATTTAGTGTATGGCATGTGTTAGCCAGGGATCACTGAGGTGGCTGGCTGCCACTGTGAAAGAAATTTTTTCGGGTGGTGTTATCTTTACCCAACGGATGCCTGAATGCTCCTTTTTTGTCCTTGCCCAGTTTATTCGGTCACGGGAATCAAGCTCCCGAGCTGCCAACCTCAGCAGTGCGCAAGCCCAGCAATTTACCATGTGAGCCACTGTGGCTCCACAGAGGGAACTATTAAACCATTACACAAAGCAGTTAGCAAGATCAGAGTGTGACTACCTGCACTGGAAGTGAAGGTTGAAAAGCCCTCCGGCTTTCTTGCCTACCAAGTCAACTCATACTGAAAGCGGTCTCTCATTTTGAAAGCTTTTTAACTTTCTCCATTCTTAAAAGTAGACAAAGAGAAGCCACTAAGCTGTTCCTCAATAATTTAGTGGCAGAGATTATTTTTCTGGAGAAGAGTGGCCGGCGGCCAAAATTACTGAATAGGCACTCTTCTGGAGTATAGGAGGACTTTATGTATTTTCATTAATTTATTCAGTTTGTATGATTGCCCATTTAGCATGAAACTCTGCTAAGTGTTGCACACCAAATTAAAAAAGTCATCAAAACAATTCAACAAAGATTAAAAATACATAATATAATCTAACAGAGAAGCATGCTTCCTGGATGCCATTAGAGGACATTGTTTAATACCCACAAATAGCCTAGCTGTTTGCTGTGATAACTTTGTAGATGTCAATCAGCACGTAATTCTTCCCAGAAGCCCACTGGAGCCAGAGCAGCTGACAAAAGTGGGGAGTTGCTGCTACAGAGTCATATCAACATATTCATGGTGCTGCATTCTGCACCAGCTGCAGTTTCTGAGTGATCTTCAAAGGCAACCCTGCTATCAGTTTAACTGATTGGTGACCAAAGTATTAATGTTTGTGAACATGGATTTTAAGTGTTAAAGCAGCTTTAATTTAAGTTGTATTGGAACAAAAGCCAACTACTGGTTGTGTTTTTAAGATATATCTCCATGATGACGAACCTATGGCACGCGTGCCACAGGTGGCACGCAGAGCCATTTGTGCGGGCATGTGATCCCCAGCCAAATTTAACTCACTGCACATGTGCATGCCTCCCAGCTGATTTTCGGCCCATTTGAGGCCTTTTTTGGCCTCCCAGAGACTCGGAGGAAGCCTCTGCAGCCCTTGGAGGCCTAAAAACGGGCCTGTTTTGTCACTTGCTGTATTTCCGGAAATATCAGAAATGATGAAACGGGCCCATTTTTTGGCCTCCAAAGGTTGCAGAGGCAGAAGCCTCTGGCAGGCCAAAAAAGGCCTCAAACGGGCTGAAAATCAGCTGGGAGGCATGCACATGCCCAATACAGGTAAGGGGGCAGCAGGGGGATCACATGCACATGCGCAGGGGATGTGAGGGGGGTGCGCGCATTGCCTTCTGGGTGCTAATTTTCGGCACAGGAACCCTAAAAGGTTAGCCATCACTGATATATCTCATAGTCACACAAGCAAATGAGACTATAGTTAGTCATAAGAAAAGAATGGATAGATGAGGCTGTGTATGTAATTTCGTAAAATTATATACACAGCCTCATCTATCCATTCTTTTCTTATGCATAGGTGGGAATAAATTAGCAGTTATTCTGTATGGTAATTGCTGAAAGATTTTGAGTGGTCCATACGTTGCACTAAAGAGAAATTATATTCATGTTTTAACATTTCACTCTTCAAATTAGAAGTCCCCAACTTTTGTATATCCATGATAAAGAGACTTCATACATGTGTATTCAGGCTTAAATCCTGGCCATTCAGCAATGATTTCTACTTGCAGTGGTGTGTGAAATAAAGATTACAATGGAAAAGATTATATCAAAAGCAAATTATATCATAAGATTAGCATTATTTTTGTGAGTACATTTTCAACATTAACAATTAGGACACAAAGTTCTAACTAGAAACCATAACTAATAGCACATGAAATAAGATTCAGACCATGCCATTTCTTCAAGATATTTTAAAATATGTAATACTTTCAAAATGAGCTGGTATATGAAATGTCTGGAAGGAGCATATTCTGATGTTCATAAAAAATTGGTGTCTGATTGCATTAAACAACAACCTTTTAATTCAAACTTTAGCACTAATAAAGAAAATATTTGTAGTTCAGAATTGACCCCTCAACTTTAATATAATAGTGCTGTTAGAAAGGTGGTTATTGGTGTCTTCCCCTTTTTATGTAGGTTGTTCATTAATATTTTCTATACATATACAGAGCAATAGAAAAATTATTTTACTATAATAACTGCATACGGTAATGCAGACTTTGTTCTTATAGTATAAAAGAAACAAAAAGTCAGAACAAAGAAAGTTTAATAAGTTCCAAATTTATTTTAAGATCAATTTCACAATACATTGTCTTTTTGAAACATTGTCTTAGGTTCTACCATTCCACTAATAGGAAGCCCCAGCATGATTTATTGGCATAAAATCAAATTAAGCCCCTCTCCCCAAATTAAGGCCCATATTAAACATGCAAAATGGGGGGGAATGGCGGGGGGGGCTTGCCGTTAGGAAGTACTTTGTTGCATGCCCGGATATGGTGCTGCCTGCGTTGGTGGAGCACTTCATATCGGGAGACCTTCCGCCACCATTGCTTTTCCTTCTCCCTTGCTGCCATGGCGTTACAGCAACGCCGCGGCGTTTGGCACAGCCACGTGCAGCCAGTCAGGGCTCCTCCCTGCAACCAGAGCCCTGAGGAGACACTTGGCTTCAGGCGCTCCTGTGGCCGCCTTCCCTTTGCCTTCGAAGATAAAGTGAATTATTTTAAAAACCTCAGCTCATCCCATCAGGGCCGCGCCGGAGCCGTGCGAGCTGGGCAGAGCTGGGAAAGTGAGCCGCAGGTGTTTCCTGGTTCTGCCCAGCCCGCACGGCTCTGCCGCGGCCCTGGCGGGATGAGCGGAGGGTTTTAAAATAATTCACTTTACCTTCAAAGGCAAAGGGAAGGCGGCGACAGGAGTGCCTGAAGCCAAGTATACCAACAACAAAAGGCAAATCCTCAAGGTGGGCTGGAGGGAGGTGGCTACGTGCCCCCCGGGCTGCTTCAATGCAAGGTCCTGACTTGCAGCATCCTGCCGTTGCCGCCGCGTCCTTTTCACCGCCGCCTCCCTCTCCGACTGCGAAACTTGTGTGCTTCGCCAAACGCTCCGAGCGAGGCGAGCTCTTTCATACATAGAGAGAGAGAGAGGGAAAGATGCCGGCGTGCTCCAAGAGGCTGGCTCTTTTCTCTAGCCGAGGCTGACATCTGACTGAATCTCTATGAGATGATACTGTGACAGCCGCTGCTGCCGCACTCCCTTCTCTTTCCTCGCCTCTCCTCCCTTCGCCGGCAGGAGTGTGCGCGCCTGCTGCCACTGCCGCCGCTCCTGAGGCCGTCTGGGGCAGGCAGGTGGGAAAGCAAGCAAGGTGGCTGCGCTGTCTTCTTTTTCCCTCAGCGAAGCGCCGCTGCTTGCCGCCGTCACCGCCACCTGCGATGGGCGAGGAGGCGGTGGAGGCACCCGAAATGTCACCAAGGCAGCGAGTGCCTCCCCGCCGGGCCCTCTGCTCATCCCGCCAGGGCTGTGGCAGAGCCGTGCGGGCTGGGAAGAACCAGGAAACACCCACGGCTTGCTTTCTGCCCAGCCTGCACGGCTCCGGTGCGGCCCTGGTGGGATGAGCGGAGGTTTTTAAAAGAATTCGCTTTACCTTCAAAGGCAAAGGGAAAGTGGCGACAGGAGCGCCTGAAGCCAAGTGTCTCCTCAGGGCTCCAGTTGCAGGGAGGAGCCCTGACTGGCCGCACGTGGCTGCGGCAAACGCCGCGACGTTACTGTAACGCCGCAGCAGCAAGGGAGAAGGAAAAGCAACGGTGGTGGAAGGTCTCCTGAACATCCAAGCTGTTGCCGCCCGCCCACCCGAGGATGCAATGGGGGGGGGAATTAAGTCACCCCCGAAAAGACGGCCTAGCCGGTTTTTCGGGGGTCAAAAAAAAATAAGGCCCGGCCTTATTATGTGAGAAACACGGTAGTGGAGCTTCAGCTTTAATCATGTTTAGAGAATTATTAAACTATTAGTACTATTTTAATTTCTTATCTTTCCAAACGAACAAATTTTCTCCCACTGATTTTGATACAATCAATATTATACCTTGTATTTTTTAATTGCTATCTTACATAGATTGCAAGTTTGTGCATCTGATCATTATCTATTTGCATATTTTCAATATGTAATTAGCTACCATTAACTTTATGGTATACCTTGGAGGATACCATTGATCACAAATAAAAAGGCTTAAAAATGCTTCCTTTAAAAAAAGTTAAAAGATTGCATTTGATTTTGAAATGATCCAGATATGCTGGAGTTGATTCTTATAAAATATTTTAAATAAAGATATCTCCATTATTTCCCACTTTACATGGTAGTTTTGAAACATCCCTCTTCACTGTAAGAAATCAACTTATTCATCAAAGCTTTGAAAATTAACAAAAAGAAAAATAAGGAAAGAAATTCAACACTGCTGCCAGCTCTTCTCTGATTCTTATGAATTAAAGGTTTAATTGATAATTCTGCTTTCAAGATCATTCCTATGTATTCAAAAAATCTTCAGCTTTTTCAAGTATTAACAAGGAACCCAGTGAGGTTTGGTATGAACAGAAAATAATTGCCAATTCCTAATGTATTCATACTGCCTCTAAACTGTCTCTAATATATATTAATCTCCCTGGACGTTTATGAACATAATTAATTAATCACTAAAAAATTTCCTGTGCTAATGTTACAAAATTTCCAAAATATGCCATCTAGTAATTAACCAGGTTTTCAACACTTTTGTAGTGTGTATTGTATTTTTTTGTAGTATGTATTGTAAGTATGTATTTATTTTATTTTATTTTTGGCTGTTCAACTTCATTTAATTTTTTTCATTTAAAATATTTATTTATTTATTTATGATGAATAAAATTTAAAAAACAATTTCCACTTTTTACAATTCTGTAACGGTGTTCATACTAATTCACAAAGTCTATCACTATATCAATTGCTTCTCCATTTTATTCACTTATACTCTTATTTCTCAATTTAACTTATAACACTATTAATATATATGTGTGTTTGTGTGTGTGTGTGTGTGTGTGTGTGTGTGTGTGTATGTATATGTATATATGTACAACATTAATTAACACTTTCTCATATTTTCTGTCAATTGACACCTTTGTGTCTTCTTTCTAACCACTCATACCAAACATTCCATATCTTATAGTACTCTATTTCTTCTTTGTTTTTCAATACCATTGTTAGCCTGTCCATTTCAGGACATTCAAGGATCTTTTTTATTATTCCTGCCTCGGAGGGGATAGTATCCTGTTTCCAGTTTTGAGCAAATGAGATTCTGGCAGTGGTTACTATATGGAGTATGCTATATTGGAGATTCCTCCTAAAATTAGTTCCTATTATACCTAATAAAAACATTTCTGGTCTTAATTCTTTATCTCGTTATTTCTTCCAAACATGTTTTAATTTTAAGCCAGTACTTCTGGGTTTAGGGACAGGTCCACCACATATGAAAATATGTTCCTTGGCTATAATTGTATCTCCAACGTTTTGCCGGGAAACATCTTGGTTAATCTTGCTTGGAGGGAGGTGCTGGTGGTAGAACATTTTGTAAAAGTTTTCCTTATATGCAACTGACAACATTAATTTATAATTTACCTGCCATAATTTTCCCATTGTTCCAGATCAATACCATATCTGAAATTTCTAGCTCAAATTATCATGTTCTCTTTTACTGTTTGTTCTTCCATTTTATATTCTCATAGATAATTGTACACTTTGCTAATCATTTATTTTCCAGTCCCTTGTAAAATTTTACCTAATTCTTGTTGAGATCCAAAGAAGCCAAATTGTTCCTGATCCTTTTTATACCATATTTGAATTTGGAGATATGGTCAGTATCCTATCTCTATTCCTTGTCCCTTTAATTGTTGTTGGATTTTTAGTTCCCCTTTCTTGTCTAAGAGCTCTTTATATTTTACCATCTTATTTAGATCCAATGCGTTAGGATATATCATTGCTTCCATTGTCGATAGCCAGATTGATATTTTCATATAGTGGTTTCTTTTTATTTTATCCCAAACATACAGTATGACATCCCTGAGCTGATGTCTCTGAAACTAAGTATGGCATCTATTTTTCCCTTCCCAGAGAAATGCATGCCATCCCAACTACAGATCATGGACCTCTATTGTTAATATTCTTTTATTGTCAAGATTGATCCAATCTTTGAGCCAAGTTGCGACTGGTAATATAATTCAAAGTCTGGAAGTCCAAATCCTCCTTTAAACCTGCTGTCTTGTAAAAGTTTAAATTTTATCCAGAGTTGCTATCTGTCCCAACAGTGATAGTTGAATTTTTGCCCAATTAGTCAAATCTTTTCGTATTTCCAATATTATTTTATCATAATTATCTTCCTTTATTGAAGAGCATTTCACGGTGAGTCAAACTCCTAAGTACTTTACTTTTTTTGCTATCTGCATCCCTAGTTCACGTTCTAGTTCTTCATTTTGACTCTTGGTAAGATTTTTAGTTATTATTTTCATCTCTTCCTTATTAATCTTGAGCCCCGCTACCATTCCAAATGCTTCTATTTCACGAATTAGTATACTACCCATCTCTATTGGATCTTCTATAATAAATGTCATGTCCACGAAAGCTTGCACTTTGTATTCTTTTTTAGTAAGCAATCCTTTTATTTCCTGATTCTGCCTAATTTTGGTCAACAGTACTTCTGCTGATAATATATATAAAAGTGGGGATAATGGGCATCCCTGTCTTACGCCTTTGTTTACGTTCAATCGTCTGATATTTCTCCATTGAGTATCACTTCTGCGATTTGTGTAGTGTATATTATTTTAATGAACCCTACAAATTTTTCACCAAATTGCATCCTACTTAGTT